TGCCCCAAGGTTATATATAAGTCATAGGACATATGTAGATTTTCATGTCCTAAAATGGCGTGGCATCTTTACGCAACGTACTTACTCACTTTATTCTGTGTTCCTAAAATAATTACAAGGCAAATAAACTTCAACAAAATAACTTACATTTCAGTATTTTTCAGATCATTTCACAGCACGGCCTCGGAGCGTGCAAATTCTAAGTCCAGAATGTAAACAAACAATGCGGCCAACTGTCGTATAGTTGTGCTTTCCACAAGATATTTCAAAATATACAAACTTTATTACACTTGTGCTATTTTGAGTTAAACATTATTTCCTCACATCTAGACAACATATTTAATAAGTTTCAGACGTGTATTTGGCTTTTAAGAAAATATAGAAATTACCCCAGATCTTTCGAGATTATCGATGGGAACACCCGCAATCATGCAGGAATTTTGTTCTTAGGGTGCTTTAGGTTGGTTACACAGCACCCGCGATCTCCCGATCCCCCACCACACCCAAAACCCCAGAAGTGAGCCGCCTGGCATACATCTACCTAGGCCTGCGGCGCTGACACCCGAGTCGGGCAAAAGGCAGAGTCGTAGACAGGCCTTCGGCTCCAAAGGACACAACTTTTACCCTCAGGATTTTATTTTGACGAGTTGTCCCACCAGAGACCATCAAATATCTGAGAAACAACATTAAAATGGTTTGGGGTCATTTTCGTGTGGAAATCGCCCTCTGGCGACCTAACGGTTCGAGATAGAGCCAAACGGACAAAATTTTGGTCTTAGGGATCTACTTTGACGAGTTACGTCTTAGAAAAGTGTTAAAAAAATAAAAAATTAAAAGTAATATGTAGGGTTTTTTGTTTTTGATTTTTTTGACAGGCCAATTTTCAAGCTAGAGGGCTCAAAATCAATACAGTTCTTGCTTTTTATGACACAAAGCTACACTAAAAATTTCAGGTACCTAGCTCAAACCGTTCTCGAGTTATCGTGATTACAGACAAACACACAGACAGACAGACACGAAACTTTTTGATCATCACTGGAGTAATACGCTTCGCTATCGCTCAGCCAACAAATTCGTTGTTAAGTTTTCAACTGACTCGTGTTGTTGTACAACAGCTTCGGTTGTCAAATAACAGCAAAAGTTGTCCAGGTAGATTCAGAGTTCCCTAAAAGCGAGCGTGATTCTCACGCAAAGCGTGATTTTCGCGCCCGGCGTGGTAAAAGTCGATCCCTGATTGGCTGCGCGAAGCTTACGAAGCGTGAAAATCACGCCTGGCGTGAAAATACCGTTTGCGTTTCGTGAACTCTGAATCCACACTTAAGGTATTCAGAGTTCACAAGATGCGAGCGTGATTTTCACGCCGCTAGCGTGAAAAGAGTTGTTTTGGTTAGCAGTTGACTTTATGCCACAACCAATAACAGGCCGACGTGGGGCTATGCCATTATTTTCAGCTGAATCAGCTTTGGAGCAAGCGTGATTTTCACGCCTCGGGCGTGATTTTCACGCAAGCGTCTGCTAGCAGCGTGATTTTCACGCAAGTTCGTAGGTGCACTTGGGAGATATTCGAGAATGCGTGGCATCCACAGCCTAGAGGAAGGCAGGCCTGCGTGACCGCGGTGCGTGGCGGGTCTGCCTACGCTGCGGGCGCCCACAGCCTAGAGGAAGGCAGGCCTGCGTGACCGCGGTGCGTGGCGGGTCTGCCTACGCTGCGGGCTTTACGTTCCTTTGAACTACGGCCTGTGTTTACCAAACGGTCTTCGCGTGCGCGGCTGTCGCAACACGTTTACAATTCTTGTTAACCATAAACGGACCTGTAGTTAAGAAAAATTTCTATTTTATAGTTTCGAGCAATATTTTTTGAATATCGAAGTTTGCACCGCGTCATAGCGCTCTCTCACTCGTACAATCTGCTTTTGGACGCCATGCAGGCATTGCATGCCTGCTCGCTGCATTGTTCTTGTTCTTGATGTGTCTTTTCGCGTGATATTTTTTAGAATTAACCTCTTAATCATTACTTTTCTAATTGAACACAATTTTTGGCATGAGCGCTGGGCAGCGCGCGCCGGGGGCTGACTACTCTGAGAGCAAGGTGTCCATTGTTACGCTCTGCCACTCAGTGCAAGGCTTACATATGACTGACTATGTAACCTAATTTAAAGCACACTCTCTGAAAATGAAAGCTACATCATCTGCTTCCACGTTAGCGCAAGCTTAGTTTTTTTTTACACTTTCCCTAGACCCAGTTGATCGATTTGACCCGCCAGTCACCAAAATCTGACCCATAGGAGCCGAGATTTTAACGCATTTGTTCAAAATTAAACCGAAATTGACAAAAATTTCAAAATTGTCGTAGAGGCCTTCCGGGACACTTTCCCGGATAATTTCTGCGAGAGAAAACGATTAAAACAACATCCAAGTACCTACGACCTCCCACTTAGGCCCGAACGCTGCCATTTTGGAAAATTAGGGCCTAAATCACAAATTATTAACGTTCACTGCAGGGGCCCGTGTTAGGTGTCGTTTCCGCATGATATAGTGTGACGCCGAATATGAGGTTAAATGGACTGAAATACCACTAAGGGTCCATTTTTACATTCGAACGGTCCGTATACTATGGGTGCAAAAGGCCTAAATTGGTGCAGAGGCTAGAAACTACTAGGGGTCAGGCTGGGACCATCATCCCGACCGGCCTGCCGAGCGCGGCGCGTGACACGGTTGTCTTATTCTGGTAATTACTCCCTTAAAACTACACGTACGGGGACAACCGAGTACAGCGTTGGATAGGTAATGGAATAAGGAATCTTGTGGTATCAAAATATGAGCACAATGAAAA